TGACTTGCTGTCTATGTTGACTACCATTTTTTTTTTTTTTTTTTTTTAAATTGAAGATGACTTTCTCAGATTTCCTGAAACATAAGTATTGCTTTGACCTACAAGGGAAAGAAAGCCAGGAGTGTCTCCATGGAGTTTAACAGGAAGGGGAAAAATAATAAATAGACATTCAGTATAAGAGTCATTGATGAAGGAAAAAAGTATTAGCTGCAGATTAGATCTATATTAGAACTTCAAAGCTTTCCACTTCCTGACAGTTTCTTTTCTAGAAGAGGAAAAAAAGAGAGAATTCCCCACTTTTCCTAGAGGCATTAAAAACAGAGGGACTAGCGCTGCCATATTTCATGAGGGATATTTAAATCCTCTTGGTCAAAGTGTATTTCAAGAACAGAGTTAGAAACAAGAGCTGATATTGGCAAGGCCCATCCCCTTGGTTGATGGAAGATAACATGCTTTATTTCAAAGGAACAGCCTTGCTACCTATTTAACTCAAGTATTATTTGAATAAGTTTATACAGTTTCAGAGAAGCATGCACAGGTGTGGACAAAGCTTCCTGGCATTAACTCTTTTCTGCAAAATAATCAATAAATTTACAAATAGTCAAAAGTTATGGGTAACTAAAGAAGAGTTATTCTAACTATCAGCCAGTGTGACAGTTTATTATCTAACAGTACTTTCAAGTTTCATACCGTCTTGATTTTTTTAAATGGTGAGAAATTTTAGTAACTAGCATAATTAACTAGTCCTTAAGAGCTGCTTAGCATCTTTAGTCTAACTTGAAGATCAACACAGAGAAAGAATCCAGATTTGACTATTGATTTCCCTTCCATCTTAAAATGAAAAAAAAAAACCTCAAACTGCTTTATGACTGGGGAAAGTTCAGCTCATTTAAAGTAAACAATTTCTAAAAATTCTATTTCTCTGTATATATTACAAGGTAATTAAATACAGTGTGAAAGAATAGCATCCATTCACATACTGTAGCCCTTTTTCTTTTTTTAAAGCAATGTTGAATATCAGCATCATGCCTAAAAATGCTACACTAGTATATTTGTATCTTCTCTTAACAAAGCTTGCTTGTATAAAGTATTATTTTTCATCCAAGTAGCCTAGATAACAAGCCTAAACTCCCTAAAGTTCAGCTTTGAAAGTAGTAGGAAGGAGTATTTAGTAGTGTGATGCAGGTGAAGACTATCCCTCCCACATACACCAACAGGATACTGAAAATCTCAAAAATTAAAACAGTATCTACAAGTAAGCACACTGAAGATCTAATTAATTTTGCAATCTAAAGCATCTATGGACACCAGTGATGCAATACTCTAAGAATATTTTCATAAATAACAGTGTAGATCTCAGATACTTCAGTAACAGGAAAATTCAAGTGAGAAAGCCTACYGTTGTGATACAAACACGACTTCTCTGCTTTCACCTACAGCAGCACAGTAGCTACAGCTCCACAGAATTGCATACAGCCTCGGCAAAGTGGAACAAAACTGCAAGTAGGAATTCCCCATGACTACCAAAAATTCAGCGTTACCTTAAGCCTACCTAAATATACCTACTGCAAATACGAACAACAGTGCAAGTGTGCAATGTATTAGGAGCCAGTATGGACTGTTGTGCCAACTGCACTGTATGCAAGATGTCCTCAACTGACTTCCAAGTCTGCGTCACACGTCAGTTTAACTAGACAACGCTTTACAAGATACCAAATGGCCAGTCATAACAAAACAAGTCATAAAAAAAGTATAATGGAATATATCATGATTAATACATCTCTCAAGTGTCCTTTAAGCAAGACTTTCCAGTGTGTTTATGACCAGCATTCTAGACACAGACTGCTGCTGTTTTCTGAACATGGAGTCGAATATTACTCAACTGCAAAAGTGAGAGCAATGAAAAGACCTTATTCAAAGGACACTTTTCAGGAATATCAACTGACACACTCTGATCTCACGTGTAAGAAACACTGTRTCTCTTATCACTGTTCCACTCAACACAGAAGTTAACATTTCTTGTTTTGAATACATTTTATACATTAGCTACCCTAATGTGTTGGAAGGCCCAGACTTAACATAATTTTCAATATGAGTAATTCTTCTAATTCAGTGCTCACCTTTAAAGTACTTTACAGTTTTAACTCTTAATTCTAAAGTGGCATCTTCATCACATACAAAGATAGTGCGAGGGTGCTGCTGGAAAGCAGAAACTGTCCACATATGATTGACCCCTTCTTCAATTGCTTTGTACAATGCAAAAGCTTTATGTGCACCTGTTATAAGAATCATCACCTGCAAAAGAAAAGTCTCCGTTTACTTTCAGTCCCAGTTTATATACCAGCTTGAAAACAGATCTT